GTGATAGCCGAGGTCACAATAGTAAGGCGACATCCCCGTGGCTGGCGAGACGGCGTGGTTGTAGGCTATCTCCGCGTGGGCAAGATGGAGGTCCCACTGCTAGTCGTCACGAACAATTTTTCGGAGAATATCTCCGAGAGTACTGTTTGTGATCTCGGTCTGACCATCAGTCTGAGGATGGTAAGACGAGGAGAAGCGGAGCTGAGTGTCGTACACCTCGTGGAGCCGTCGCCAGAATCGACTGGTAAAGCGAGAGTCACGGTCAGATATGATGCTCAGAGGTAAGCCGGGGTCACGCACGACTCGGTAAAATACGATGTCGGCGACCTCACGTGCACTGATGGCATAGCGGCACGGAACAAAGTGTGCACGCTTCGTGAAGCGGTCGACGACGACCAGGATAACATCATGACCGCGGGGGGTCGGAGGTCGAAGAGGACCGATAAAGTCCATCGAGATGGACTGCCAACAACCCTCAGGGATAGGAAGAGGCTGGAGCAAACCATAAGGTAGGTGGTTCGCACTGTTCACCTCCTGACAGGTGGGACACTCTGCGACGTAGTCCTTCACAAAGTCCTTGCACTTCGGCCAGACGTACAGGCGGCTCACACGAGCCTACGTCTTGGTGAAGCCCATATGACCGGCGGCTGCCTAGTCATGGAACTCTGCTACTGCTCGGACACGTAGCTGTCCAGTGGAGGTAACACAAATACGGGGCTCTCTGGTGCCCTGTGAACCGTGCCAGTACACGAGACCGTTGTCCCCGAGAGAGTAGTTCGGAACGGTCTTGCCACTCCGAAGGGTCGCGTGGATGTCGCGATAGTCGGGGCAGTGGCGGTACTGAGTGCGAAACTCATCGATCACCGAGTGGTGGACGGTGGTGACCGAGATGGAAGAGAGTTGGATCTGCACCTGGTCGTGGTCAGGGCGTCGGGATAGGGTATCTGCGACCCGATTAGTCTCACCCTTGATGTGCTCAGTGGTGAAACTAAACTCGGATAGGTCGCCCCACCAGCGAGTCTGTCGAGGAGTGAGCTTTGGCTTAGTCAGAAAAGCCTGGACAACAGAGTTGTCCGTGCGCACCTTGAATGGTGCCCCGTGCAGGTCGTGCCGCCAGTGCCGAGCGGCATAAACTACTGCGAGAACCTCACGTTCATCAGCAGTGTAGTTTATCTCGGCGACAGGCGCTGACGGGAGTAGAAGGCTATCGGACAATCACTTGAGCGAGACTCGACAGTGCCATCCTCGGCGATGGTAGGAGAATAGTTAATAGAGGGCTCGTCAATAGCTGGACGAGTAGGCGTCAGTCGGGAAGCAGTGGTAGGGGTAGGTGGTGGGAAGCGAGGGATACGAGGATGAGAGGAATCAGGAGAGGAGGGGAAGACCTGAGAAAGCACTGCTCCGACAGTAAAGTCTGACGCATTGGTGGTAAGGATAAAAGGGCGATCAAAATCGGGTAGGTGAAGAACCGGTGCGCATGTCACCGCCTTCTTGAGGGCGTGGAAGGCGTCCTTGTGGAGGGGTGTCCAA